TCCAATTTGAACCGGGATTCAGTAGTTCTTCACCAGAGAGAATCAATGGGTTATTTGTGGTTACTGTGCTGTATCGCCTAGTAAGCTGCCAACTTTTGTCTATGGCTTCAAGAGGCAGATACTCACTAAATATGATTACACAATGGCTGAAACTAGCTCCTTGTTTTTATTTTTTTCACTTTGTTGCAAAAAATATATTTCAACTAAATCTTAATCCACTTAAAATGAAATCTGATTGTCTAATAATTATGACAGGCAACTGTATCAAGATCTGCACTGATTCTCAGAAGCACAGCTTGCATTGACTCTCAGCATCTAAAGGACCAAAATTTACTATAATGTATCTTGATTACTTTGGTCTTCTGTTGCTGGACCTATGATTTTTCAGAACTGCCATGGTTCAGTGCTATGCAATCATGGGATGTGAAGTTTCACAAGGCCTTCTCTGCCAGAGTGCTGGTGTCTCACAAAACTGCAAATTCCATGACTCTATAACAGGCATGGACAAACTAAAGCCTGTGAGCAGAGGCGGCACTAGGTAATTTTCAACGGTAAGCAAACAGTACTTTGGTGCCCCCCCCCCCAACCAATTACTGATATATATTTTCTGTTCGTTGTGGGAGTTCTGTGTGCCATATTTGGTTTAATTCCATCAGTGGAGTTCAGAATGCTCTTTGATTGTAGGTGAACTATACATCCCAGTAACTACAACTCGCATATGTCAAGGTCTATTTTCCCCCAAGAGTACCTCAAGAGCGCCCCTGGGTAAAATCAACTATACTGCAAATGCTTACTTTGCGTAATGGATTGAGCCGCCCCTGCCCGCAAGCAAGACACGGCCCTCTGGGCCCTTTTGTCCAGCCCTAAACATTTCCTCCGTCCTCTGGGCATAAGGATGCGGTAGTGTGCCACATTCTTATGCCAAAAGAACGAGGGAGAGAGGAAGACATGCTGTGGTTGGGAGCCCTCTAGAGTCCCCGGTGGGATGAGAAGGATGGAATATAAATGTTTCAAATAAATAAATAATTTTTCCTGAGCATGTCAAGTTAACACACTAACCTCTGCTTTGTGTAAACATAGCTGATTCTCGCATAAGCTGAAGCTGATGACATGTCTTTCTACATCTAAAGAGTGCTGTGACCTTGGCAGTCGGTAAAGACATTTGGATTTTGAGGAAGTCAATGACAGTACCTCTAATGATTTTTTTTTGTCATGTCAGGAGTGACTTGAGAAATTGCAAGTCGCTTCTGGTGTGAGAGAATTGGCCGTCTGCAAGGATGTTGCCCAGGGGACGCCCAGATGTTTTGGTGTTTTATCATCCTTGTGGGAGGCTTCTCTCATGTCTCCGCATGAGGAGATGGAGTTGATAGAGGGAGCTCATCTGAGTTCTCCTCGTATTCGAACCTGTGACCTGTTGGTCAGTCCTGCCGGCACAGGGGTTTAACCCACTGCACCACCGGGGGCTCCTACCTCTGAAGATGTGCAAAGCATACCTCCTACCTCTGAAGATGTGCAAAGCATCTTGGATATGAAATTTCAAGTCTCCTTGCTTCTGAGGAAGTCACAAAGTGCTATCCTTTGAAGAGCTTGAATCTCATTGGTTTTTGAAAGAAGCTATTGTTTGAAATATTTATTTATTTATTTATTTACGGCGCTTATATGCCGCCCTTCTCACCCCGAAGGGGACTCAGAGCGGCTTACAATATATATTTTCATACAATATATTATATTATTAGCATAGTACAATATCAGTATATATTACTATATTGCACTATACCATTATATTGTAATATTATTAGTAATATTACATGTAATTAAATATATAATTATAATTATAATATTGAATTATTATTACTAGTATTATATTGTATTACATTATAATATTATAAATATTATATGTATATACAATATACTATATTATATTATTAGTAAAGACAAGATGGAAATGTCTTCTGCTCCCCTCTGTCTTCTCTCTGGCAGAGTAGCCGTTGGTGCCAGAAGGGGGAGGGGCCTCTCAAGTGATGATATAGGCAGAAGACAAGATGGCAGTGTCTTCTGCTCCCTTCTGATAGGGTCTGATTAAGACGTCTGGAGGCCCTAAACACTTAAAAAAAACCCTGATGCACCTAACATATCTTTAATTAAAATAACAATAACAAACTGTGAAGTAAGATATTATTTTTTTTTTGTAATAGAAATAAAGCAAACAATATACATATATACATACTCATAAACATTCTTAAACAACAACTACATGACTGATACACACTTTCTCCTACAAACGTACATCCCTGCTCTAACTACATACAACACTAAAACGGAAACATACATACATAAACCAGTTTTAAAAGAAAATTTCCTGCTTCTTTTTTGTTGGTTATTTTATAATGTAGCATTTTTCATTCTCCTTCTGTTCAACAAATTATTTACTTCTGCTTGTTTTTACATTAACAAATCAGTATCCCAACAGTTTCTGTCCCCACATTGTAAAGTATTATTTTCTGAAATGAAAAAAAATGGCAGTAAGATGGACAAGGATCTTTATTTTTGTATACTTCCACATCATTTATATTTGAAAAGTTTTCTCCTACTTTTTTTTTCTAATAGCAAAGTCTTTTATGGTGGGAGCCCCATTCTATGGAACCATTTGCAGCAATAAATATTTTTAAGACCAAGTTAGGGGGTGTTTTGTAGTATTTTAAATTTATTTAAATAATTTTAATTGTTTATTTTTAGACATTACTACATTTAATTCTATTTTAATGTTTATAGTCTTTAGGTATATTGTATGGTTTTGATCATCATTCACCGCTTTGAGTCTCTTTAAGAGGAAAAACAGTGGTATATAAATATATTAATAAATATAAGAAACATAATAATAACAAATATAATATTTACATTATAGATATTAATACTTTGAATGGTTTGTTTTTAGATATCACTAGGTTTAATTCTATTTTAATGTTTATGGTTTGTTTAAGAGAAAAAACAGTGGTATCTACATCTAATAATAAATGTAATAATGATAAACCTAGGATATAACTAGATTTAACTCTATTTGAATGTTTATAGTCTCTAGGTATATTGTATTGCTTTGAGCACCGTTCACCGCTTTGAGTCTCTTTGGGCCCAGACTATTTGAAAAACCGCATCATATAGACCACCACGAGCACTGTGATCTGCAGAGAAGGCCCTGGTCTCCGTCCCACCCCCGTTTCAAGCGTGGTTGGTGGGAACAAGAGAGGAAGCCTTCTCCATTAATGTTCCCCACCTCTGGAACTCCCTCTCTAAAGAAATAAAAATGGCCCCTCCCCCCTCTGATTAAAAAAGCTTTTTAAAAGCCACCTTTGTCCGTTAGCTTACAGAGAGGAGGACATATATCCTCGTCTAGTTTTTGACACCTACCTCCATCTGTAGATTCCACATGCCATCTTAGTTTTAATGTCTTTAGTCTAATTTTGGTTCAACTTATCTGTCCAAATGCATCTCCTCCTATGAGCCTACTGGAACTTTATGTTTTTACTGTTTATTGTTGATTTTTACCGGCATTGAATTCTTGCCGGAGCTGTAAACCACCTTGAATCCCCTTGGGTGAGAAAGGCAGTAAATAATAAATAAATAATGATGTACATGTGTGTGATATTATATTATGTTTATTTAAGTTTGTTTTATAATTTTTATTTAAGTTTGTTTATCCATTCTTTGACTTGATACTTGCTGTTTTTGGCACTCGGACCTAAAGTGCATGTGTACTGCGTTTATTATGTTAAATGTCAATATTTATTTATTTATTATTTAAACTTATATGCTGCCACTCCCCTGGGGCTCGGAGCGGCTTACAAGAATAGCTAAAATCTAACAAAGTTTAAAAGCAATTTAAAACAATTTAAAAACAACAGTATCAAACATTAAAAGCCTGTCGAAACAGGTATGTCTTACATGCCCTGCGGAAAGCTGGTAAGTCCCGCAGGGCACGAACTTCAGGTGGCAGAGCATTCCAGACTGATGGCGACACTGCTGTGAAGGCTCTGCGTCTGGTTGCCGTTAGACACAAGGTCTTGACACTGGGGACTTTCAATAGATCTTGGTCCTCAGAACGGAGGGATCTCTGGGGTTGGTTGGGGGTGAGACGATCCCTCAGATACATTGGCCCCAGCCCATGCAAGGCCTTAAAGGTGAGTACCATCACTTTGAAAGTGATCCGGTGCTCAATTGGTAACCAGTGCAGCTGTAGTAAGATTGGGGTTATGTGGCATCTCATCGGAATTCCCGCAAGAAGCCGAGCAGCTGCGTTTTGTACCAACTTGAGCTTCCGGATCACCGACAGGGGGAGGCCAATGTAGAGGGTGTTACAGTAGTCCAGTCTTGAGATGACTGTGGCCTGGATCACCGTAGCTAGGTCGTCCCTGGATAGGTAGGGGGCCAGCCGTCTAGCCTGCCGCAGGTGAAAGAAGGCGGTTCTGCTGATAAATTATATATATAATATATAATTTATATATAATAATATATAATAATATATTATTATAATAATATTGACATTAAACTTTATTATATTAATATAATATTATAATATTAGCTCCAGACACTTGGACCTAAGGTGCATGTGTGCTGTGTTTTTATGTTAATTGTCAATATAATAAATATATAATAATATTGACATTAAACTTTTGCAAATTTATGTTTTGGCTGCCTGTATTTATTTATTTTGAGTACCATTTAAGCGGGAGAAAAGCTGACTACCAACCCAATAAATCAATAAATGCTGCCTTTCTTTACTTATTGGAGATAGATAGATAGAGATCTCGAGATATACCCTTGGCTTCTGCTGACATTGACAGGACGCACGCGGGTGCCTTTCTCTCCCTCTCCCGCCTCCGTCTGCTAAGCATCACGGCCGCGCGGCACCACGGGAGCTGTAGTCCCGCGCCTGGGGAGGCGCCATAGCGCGCGCCCTCGCCAGGACTACGCTTCCCAGGGAGCCCCGCGAGGGAGGTGTGTGTGGCGCGTGTCCCCGCTCGAGGGGCGGCCGGGCGAGGGAGCGCGCCGAAGAGCTGCTGGCAGCCAGCGGGCAAAGTCGGAGGAGGAAGGAAGGTTGGGGTGGCGCAGGCTTTTGGCCCCCGTCTCCTCCCGTCCCTCCGCCCCCCCTTTGCATATTCTGCCCGGGGAGACGGAGCGGAGCGGGGGCGCCATGCAGGCGGAGTCGGGGATCGTGGCGGACTTCGAGGTGGGCGAGGACTTCCACGAGGAGCCCAAGACCTACTATGAGCTCAAGAGCCAGCCCCTCCCGCGCAGGTGAGCCAGGCCTCCCCAGGGAAACCCTCTGGTGGGCCTCCTCTCCCCCTTCGCACACTCTCTCGCTCTCTCTGCCTTCCTTGCCCTTCTCATCTCCTGCTCTGACCTCTCAGCCCGGCCTCCCCTTGCTGCACTCCTCCTGCTGCCTGACCCCATGCCACTGGAGCAAGCCTCCTCCCTTTGCTTTCCTGATGCCAGGTCAAGCGAAGGAGAGCCCTGGGTGCAGCTACGCTTCCTTCCCTCCCTCCCTCCCTCCCTCCCTCCTTCCCTTCCCTCTCTTCGCCCTTCCCTTCCTTCCCCTTCATTCTCACTTTCCTTTCCTTTCCATCCCTTCTTCTCCCCTTCTCCTTCCTCCCTCCTTTCCTCTCCTCTCTCTTACCTTTCCCCTTCATTCTCTCCTTTCTTCCTCCTTCCTTCTTTCTTCTTTCCTTCTCTTCCCTTCATTCTCCCCTTTGTCCCTTCCCTCCTTTTCTTTCCTCTCTCTTTACTTCCCTTTCCTTTCATTCTCTCTCTCCTTCCTTCCCTTTCTCCTTCCCCTTCTCCTTCCCTTCAGTCTCCCTCTTTCCCTCCTTTTCTTCATTCTCTCCTTCCCTTCCTTCCTTACTTCCATCTCTCCATTCCTTTGCATTCCTTCTCAGTTTCTTTCTTTCTTTGCTTCCCTCCTTCTCTTCCTTCCCTATCTTCTTTCCATTCTCCCTCTCCTTCCTTTCCTTTCATTCCCCTTTTTCTCCTTCCTGTCCTTCCCTCTCTCCTTCAATTCCTTCTCCTCTTCATCCTTCCCTTCCTTCCTTCTTTCCTCCCATCCCTTCCTTTCCCATCATTCTCGCTTCCTTCTCTTCCCTTACTCCTTCCCTTCATTCTCCCCTTCGTCCCTTCCTTCCCTCCTTTCCTTTCCTCTCTCCTTACTTCCCTTTCCCTTCTTTCTCTTCTTTCTTTCTTTCTTTCTTTCTTTCTTTCTTTCTTTCTTTCTTTTCTTTCTTCCTTTCTCCTTCCCTATTTCCCCTTTGTCCCTTCCTTCCCTCTTTCCTTTCTCCTCTTCCCCTTTCCTCTTTCTTCTTCCCTTCCTTCCTTCTTCCATCTCTCCATTCCTTTGATTCCTTCTCACTTTCTTTCTTTCCCTCCTTCCATTTCTTCCCTTTCTTCTTTCCTTCCTCTCTCCTTCCTTTCCTTCTTTTCATTCCTCTTTCCTCCCTTCCCTCTCTCTTCCCCTCATTTCCTTTCCTTCCTTCTCCTTCCTTCCCTCCCTTCCCTCTCCCCTTCTCTTCTTCCTTCCACCTCTCCTTTCTTTTGCATTCCCTCTCAATTTCTTTCTTCCCTTCCTTACCCCCTCTTCCCTTCCCTTCCTTCCTTCCTCCCTCCCTCCCTCCCTCCCTCCCTCCCTCTCTTCTTCCTTTTCTTTTTTCTTTTCTTTTCTTTTCTTTTCTTCCTTTCCCTTCATTCTCTCCTTCCTCTCCTTCCCCCTCTCCTTCCTTTCATCCTTTTCCGCCTCCCCTCCCTCCCCTTCCTATAATCTTCTCTTCATTTTCCCCTTCCCTCTTTTCTTCTCCTCTCCTTCATTCTCTTTATCTCTTCTTCTCTTTTCCCTTCCCTTCCCCTTCCCCTCCCCTTTTCCCTTCCCTTCCCCTTCCCTTCCCTCCCCGCTCTTCTCCCTCCCTTCTCCCTTCCCTTTCTCCTCCTTCTCCCTTCCCCTTCTCCCCCTTCCCTTCCTCCGTTCCCCTCCTTCTCCCTTCCCCTTCTCCCCCTTCCCTTCCAACCTTCCTCTCCTTCTCCCTTCCCCTTCTCCCCCTTCCCCTCCCCTTCCCCTCCTCTCCCTTCCCCCTCCCTCTCCCTTCTCCCCCCTTCCTTCTTTCCTTCCCTTCTTCCCTTCTCTCCTTCCCTCTCTCCTTCCTTTCTTTCATTTCTTCCTTCATTCTCCTTCCCTCCCTTCCTTTCCTTTCCCTCACTTCATCTTCCTTTTTCCCTTCCCTCATTCCCTCCTTTCCTTTCCTCTCACCTTCCCTTCATTCTTCCCTTCCCTCATCCCTTCCCTCCACCACTCTTCCCTCCTTCCTTCAAACTTTCCTTTCCCTTCTTTCTCAAATTCTTTCTTTCCTTCCTTCCTTCCTTCCTTCCTTCCTTCCTTCCTTCCTTCCTTCTCTCTCTCCCTCCTTCCCTTCCCTTGCCTGCTGTTAGGAATTGTGGAAATTGAAGTCCAAAACATCTGGAGGACCCAAATTGTCCAATGCCTGCTCCAGAATGAATGCAGTTTGACACCACTTGAATTGTCATGGCTCATTGCTGTGGAGTCCTAGAGTTGTACTTTTACAAGAACTTTAGCTTTCTCTGCTAAGGGATGCTGGTTTCTCACTAGATCACAACTCCTATTGTTCCAGAGCATTGAGCCATGACAGATCAAGTGGTGTCAAAACTGCATCAGTTCTACAGTGTAGACACCCCCCGCCTTCTTGGGGAACATAAAATGCCAGGGCCCTTCTCTCAGGTCCCATCTAACTAACGTGGAAACTTGTTCCCTTATATGTTTTGGAGTTGGTAAGAGTTTTCCCTGACTTCTCAGGACTTTGGTATACTTCCCCACCCCACTCACCCTTCTGCAAAAGAGGTGTATGTAATATGTGTGGGTTGACACAGATGCTGTGCAGCGTGCCAAAGCTGAGGAGGAGGCGGTGCCCATTTGTTTTGAGGTGTGAGAAGCGTGCGTGGCAGAAACAAAAAAAACAAGAAGAAGAAAAAGGAGTCTCAGCAGCTGTAGGTTTGGCTCTCCCACCGCACCAGCCTTCTTCTCCTTCGCTTTGACTTGTGTTAAAAATCCAAGTTGTCCCTTTGACAGCAGGTGGGTGGCATGAGTGGGAAGGCCAAGAGGAGTGGAGAGGGGGAATGTTGCAGAAGGAATGGCACTCAGTGCCTGCTGTTTACTTTTTGCGCTGTTGCTGAATCAGGCTGTTTGTAAAAAGTTCTTTTAAAAAAAACACTGAAAGGAAGCATCTCTTTCTTTCTTTCTCTCTTTGCTACAGTCCAGGGCAATAAAGGCAGCCATTTAGCCAGTGGTTCCTGTCATAATAGCAGTTTTGTTTCGCGTGTGTGACTGTTTGGGCGAGAGAGGAGGAGCCAAGTCCTGCGGCTGGTATTATGTAAAGGGTATTGTTGGGCACTCTCACCAGAGGCATTATCTGGCCTTGACGGGGAGTTACAGTTACGGACTTCCACTCATAGTGAAATGGGTATCAAGCACAGTCCGGGTGGAAGGCTGAGCAGGGAGGAGGGAATCTACTATTCATCTTTTTATTCCCTGTACGTGTTGGCCTGCCCCGTTCCTCTGCCTGAAATATTCTTAGGGTTTTCTGTGGTGCTGGATTGTTAGAGTTCTCTCCAAGTAATATAATCAAACCAGTATTTATTTTATTTCATTATTTAATTTTATTGGGAGGCAGAAAGACAAGGTTCTGGAATGTTTGAGATGAGGCCAGCTTGGGCCGGATTGTAGTAGGCGTGAAACGAAATAGTGCTCACAGTGTGTATTTTTGCTTTTGCTTCTCCCCTATCACTGTATGACAGAATGCGGAGAAGAAATAAGATGAAATGTTGTTAAATGACAGAAGCATAGTGTCAGATGGAACCTCAAAGACTATCTAGTCCAGTAGTTCTCAACTTGTAGATCCCCAGGTGTTTTGGCATACAACTCACAGAAATCCCAGCCAGTTTACCAGCTGTTGGAATTTCTGGGAATTGAAGGCCAAAACATCCGGGGACCCACAGGCTGAGAACCATTAATCTAGTCCAACCTTTGCCAGTACAAGAATCCATTGTGCAGGCTTATTGGTATCCTCCTTGTGAAAAAACTTTTGCAGTTACACTTCCCAGTAAGGGAATTTCATTTAGATGTGACTGGCAAATTGCTCTTTTTGTGTCATTGGGTATTCAGGATAAATACAAACTCAGCAGCTTTCTCTCTCTCTCTCCCTATATATATATATTGCATGAATGTTGCTCCTCTTTTTTGATTACCACACCATGCATGGAGAAGGGCAGAATTGTGGGACTGTTCCTTAAGGTATCCAGAAATGGAGAAAGCTATAAGAGAGAAAGCATGCTATGCCATCCTCTTGTCCCAGCTGGAAGAGCAGCTTTCCTGTCTTAAAATAGTGGTTGGTTACCTATTTAGATTTAATAGTATTCCCCTCCACCATCACTTTTGGCCCTGATTGGCTATGGTGGTCTAGTTTCTGTTTTGCCTTCTCAGCATTGTTGACTCTGACTCTTGGTGGCTTCTTGTAATGATTGCAACAAGCAGCATTAATGTGGTTTTAAAAAAGTAAAAGCTCAGATAGTGCAGTGGATAAACTCAGGTTCAAGTCTCTGCAGAGTCAGGAAGCTCACTGAATGACCTTGGACTAGTTTCACACACAAAACCTGATCTATCTTATAGGGGGTTTTGTTATGAAGTTAAAATAGATTGGTAGTCAGGAAAGATTTATGGCTCCATTGGAGGAAAGTTGTCCTTATTGTGCAACTTAAGGTTGACTTCAGTTTATGGCATCACTCATATGGTTTACTTGACCATATTTATACAGAAGAGGTTTGCTATTGCCTACGTCATAATCCAAGAGAGTGTGACCAGTCCAAGGTCATCCAATGAATTCACACAACTGCGTTGGGATTCACAAACCCAAACCATTATATCACATTATCGCCACTATTGTAAGAAAGAAAGCATAGAATTTTAATGAATACATAATGGTTTAACTTTTGGGTGAAGAGTTTTTCATTTCCTTTGGAGAATGAAATGTCCTTCTCATGCCAAATCAGTTTGGTGGTTTCATGTACATGGTTCTAAATGAGGATGGAGTCATCCAATATTAGTCTCAGATAAGTGGTGACCATATCAAGGTATCTAACCCTATATTGTTTATATATCTGTACTATTGATTTGGTTATCAATGAAGTTGTTTACTGATATTATTATTATTATTATTATTATTAATAACATTAACAACTTTAGTGGA